CTGTTTCCTCTAAATTACAGGCAACTGCGCGACGATCTCATTCAAACCTACAGGATTGTCAGAGGTCGTGAGTGTGCCCTAGACTTTAATGAATTCTTCGAATTGGCCCGGACTGATTGCCTGCGTGGTCATCCCTTCAAGCTGCAGAGGAAGCTGGCCCATTCAGACGTCCGACGGAACGCCTTCTCTCACAGGGTCCTTGGGGCATGGAACGGACTCCCTGATGTAGTGGTTCTTTCCGAAAGTATCGATTCCTTCAAATGTGGACTAGATGCTCATTTGTTGAGAAACTACTGTACATACAATAACGATTGTTTTAGCGGCGTCAGTTTGCGCCTGGCTCACACTTACCGCTAACTTTTAGACTTTTCGCATTTGCTGATGTAATTGATGACTTTATTTCTGTTTATCGATATGAATAGGGAGCTAAAGGGTGAAAGCCTCATTCCCTTAATAAACTGACTAAACTGACTTGGGCGTCCCACCACACTCCTGGTCCATAACGTGCACTGACTAGACTTTTATACAACAACCGAACAAGGGGACGGAATGGATCACAGCTGGCACGGCGTGAACAGTCAATCGGGCCTGCCACCATGCCCCAATGTTGACATTTGTTAGAGGTGCGCATTCCCAGTGACACCCGCTAGCCTCCGTGCTGGTCCAGTGCGTCTACCGCCTGCTGTTAGCATTACAACGGCCCAGAAAACTACCGGTCATCTTCCCATGTTTAAGCCTCATAACTGAGACCAAAATACGAGCAGAATTGTTCTGTCGCCGGGTCTTTCCTTGATAACGGCTTAACCGTTACCGGAAATGTTTGAATTTCACTGCGGTGGTGGAAAGTCACACTGACTCTGGTTTTCTGAATCCCGGAGAGAAGGCGGTTTCTGTCAAAAAGTACAAATAAGTAGCACTACGAGTAGTATGCAATCCATATGGTAAAGGTATTAAACCGCACTCCCGACATAGATACTTGCTAAAAGCCCAGACACGTGTTTCGCCGATATCCTGCTGCTGCGTGACACAGCTGCGAGTGGTTTGTCTCTTCATTGGAACCCCCAGCGTTCTCTATGCGTTTTCTGATATATGAAGTCCAGAGAATAATCTAGTGAATAATTTCAGAAATTATTACCTTACCATATGGATTTCATGCTACTCCCAGCACAACTTGTTAGTAGAATGAGCATTACGTGGTTATTCTACAGTAGTTTATTGTCTTCGACTCGAAAGTTAACTGAAATTTCGGTTCTGACCCTAAAAAGTCATATCCCGGAGATTTAACTTCAAGTCCTGCACTGAGTAATTTCTGAAATTATTCACTTGATTATTCTCTGCAGTTCATATATCAGAAACCGCATAGAGAACGCTGGGGGTCCCAATGAAGAGACAAACCCCTCGCAGCTGTGTCACGCAGCGGCAGAATATCGGCGAAACACATGTCTGGGCCATGACAAGATGGCTAGGCTGATGCTCGAAAGTTGGTCCTCAGTTGGCACAACCAACAGGGCTATTCTTCTTCATCCGGCCTACCAGGTGATACGCACAAGGCTCCAGTCAGTCAAGACGGGACCGATAGCACTGGCGAGCGAGTCAAGGCTCCTCCAACAGTTGTCACCTTCACAGCAGAGGGAAAGAGCCAGCCGAAAGTTACACTACCAACGCGAGACATCGATCGCTAAAAACGGGACGTCGAGAAATCCCAGTCTCTCTTGTATTACTGGTTTAAGCGTAAAATCAATCTTTCCGAAGACGCCTCGAAAAGTTGGTCTTGCTTTCGCTGAAGACAAAGCTAACGAAAAGTGGGCTATCTAATACGGCAGATGACTACTAGGGGTGTACCAGGCCTGCCATCTTCGATTGCCGAATTTCATGCGGTTAAAGAAACAGGAGTAATTAAAGTGGCTCGACAACTTATCCACTTTCTACTTCAACGTTCCTTGTATCGGACAGGATAAATTTGATCATATAGGAGTCGAGAGTAGTGTTTATCTAAGGCTCAGTATTGGAACCTGATTTACGCAGACGACCGTGTAAGACATTTGCACTGCGAAGCAACGATGTTCGCAGATGGTAGTAGGAGATGGAGTACAATGCACTAATGAAAAAAAAATCTAGTCAACTCAGCTCGACAGCAGGGATGGTGACATCGATGGCTTCTGCAAGTCAAGGTGGGCAAACATACTCGGCTTCACTGGGGCGACCCAACTAGGCACGCGAACCAAAGTTCACCTCCCAACAGGACAACCTCAGTAGGCACACTCTGCCTAGTGATGTCGAAATTATCTGAGCCGTCTACGCATGGTTTTAATATGTTCACTGCAATCCACCAAGTTCTTTGTTGATTTTGATTGTGACGTGTCCTTCAAATTCATTGGGACACATTGCGCATATTCAACACGTAGCACAATCCTGGAGACCTAGGGAACCCAATATCAAAGCCTATCACAAGAGTGGAAAGAGCGACAATCACACTGACTAAAACTCAAGATTTGCCACCTTACGCGACCCACCCAACAAGCCTAGATTCCTTACCTCTCAGTTTTATGAAAGCGCACAAGGGCATACGGATATCCCACATGATGAACGGAGTGGGCAATAGCACTGCTTCACTGGATTAGCTCGAGATAATCCATCAGGATACTTCCTTAAGTAGACAGGACCGAGTGTGCGAAGGGTCTGCGGTATACAGCCAGCAGTTGTGGCGTTGCTATTGGTGGATAACTCTAAAAAAAGAAATCCGACAGATTTAAGCCCCACTATGGATCTGAATGACGAAAAATCAAACTCTTCACCTAAGACGCGTGGTCATATTTATGTCAAAACACTCAATTTTCCTGTACACAGGCACACATTCCGCCTGCCACGACAAATTGAACTGAATTCTAGCCCATTTTCCCCAAACATTGATGTAGGGAGGTGCTCTCGGTGAGATGAACAGCGCCTTTCAGAATTTCACAGAGCGCCCTGGTCAAAATTCAGTAGCCCTGTAAAACAGCACGCCCAAACGTCTCGCCATATCAGGTCTCGCACATACAACTCAAGCATTTTTCTTCAGACAGACGGAGCTGAGAACCCAGTATTTGAAAACTTAAGGTTCGGTATTCCGTTGGGACAAGATTTGACCGCATAACTCTCTAATTGATACACGTACTAAAAGTACACAACCAGCTTACTGTACAGCGTTGCACTATTTTGATACTTTTTCCCACTATTACTACGGGAAAACTAGCTGGCGATCGAAATGCGAAGGAGTGTAACGGCGGAAGGAAGTAAGTTTGCTGCCTGAAAATATATTAGTCTTAGTTGCGAGACAGGAACATATACGAATTTGCTTATTTCTACGGAGATAAAAGGATTAAAACTGAGGTTAGACTGCCTATGAGTGTTTGTTAACTAGATCACAAAATTGAAAATGTCGCCCGAAAATATTATTGGTAGGAAGTGGCCCATTTCGGAAACCCTGCTATAAAATCCACTTTTTGGGCTCAGATGGGCTTATGTAAACCTCAAGCAGCCCAACCAGCCGAGCATGGCTAAGAGCAGAGGTGGGCAAAAGATAGCGTTATTTATTACAAGAAGGAGCTAGTTCGGTGAACAGGCAGGGACGCGAGGGGGACGCGGTCGGCAAAATTCATGCTGCGGCAGGAAAGGTTTCGAGTAGCCACGACAGACCGGCAGGGACGCATCCTGACCCAGCAGCTGGTCACATCGACAACAAGGCGCCATGTAGAGGTTACGGTAGCTATGTAACCAGGTCAACAGAGAGATGGAGCAACGGGGAAGGGCGAGGCAGTCAGCGAAGTGCTGGATGGCGCAACGCGCCATGTGAGTGATGCGCTGGAAGGTGGCATACCGGCTCGGGGTACTGAAGTCAAGAGAGGTAAGAGAGACCTCGGGGCATCGGGTGGCGCTCTTCTGCTGCTGCTGTGAGGGGTCCTTGGGGAAGTCGGGCAGGAGGTAAGCCACTGATTGGACATCCGGGGAAAGCAGAAGGCTGCTCATGGCCGAGGAGGGACCCTGACGGGAAGCGGATGGTGATGATTGACTAGGTGATGTCGTTCGGCAGTTTGACTCGTCCAGACCTCGCACAATTATCTGTTCTGGATAGAGGTTGCCGAAGGAGATGAGACACTGGAAAACATCTCCCACCTGCAACGGTAAGGAACAGTGGATTTAAAAAAAAACAGTTGAGAGTACGATGATCAAAAGACCGTGGCCTGTGTTGGTGTTATAAAGAAACAGCTGGACCAATTACCTAAAATATAGCACGCGAGACTGTAACAAACGTAAGTTCATTTTAGAGCGGTGCCATAGTCAGAAACAAGTGGCACCTGTGTTAGGTTCTCTTCGGAGACGATACCATACGTGGTTTGAAGAGGGCGGGACTGTCCCACATTGTGTCTGTGTTGCCGATGGCTATTTAAATGAGGTCTTCAGCGACCATTGGAATGGCCAAAAGAGTCCGTGGAGTGGCCATCCAGTTTGCCTGATAGTATCCTAATTGATTTCTCCCTTTAAGGACTACCTGAACTACAGGGTTCACATGGGTGAATCCAAAACCATGAAACAGTTGAAGTGGAATGGCCATTGCTGGCTTATTAGCAATCGTCAGCCCGTGGCCCAGTGGCTAGAGGCGTTGGACTTCTAACTTACAGGTCGTGAGTTTGAGCCCCAGGTGTTCCACACTTCGGGGTCGGGTATAACTGGCTGAAGACGGGTAATAAGCCAGGAATGGCCATTCCAGTCTCCCTTGTCTATGTCGGTAATAATATTCTGCCTGTATCATGCGCCGCTGTGAGGCTGCTGGTTGGGCTCGAGAGAGTGTCTGTACGGCACAACGGGACGAGTAAGTTCCATAGAAACGATCGGTGAGCGTCCCCTCTACCATAAATCTTTGTGTTTCGGTGGTTTCATTTCTAAGACAGGACGTTATTCGGACACGCACGTAAAACACGATGGACTGAGGCTGGAAAGACTGTGAGCCCGTTCCCAAAAAGAAGAGATCTCCTCAAGACAACAGGTACATAAGTCACAGTCCATTAACCGTGACAGTTTCAAGAAAGGGTTTCCGGGCAGCCCGAAGCTCCAGAAACGCTTCAGATGGATCGATGATACACCAAAATCGTAGAATAACTCATATTCGTAGATGCTCTTAGGAAGTTATTACCAGGGAGGAACATTCTTGACGATTTGAGAAAAAAAAAACAAAGTGTTGGGCGTGAACAGGCAAAATCCAAGCATATTCGTAACCTGACCTGAACATGAAGGACGGGATTACGAGAAGTAGGCTCGAGGAAAACGAAGGCCAGATCACGGTAGAAATGTCGAACTTTGATCAGCTCTTCTTCTAAGGCATCCACCGTGTCAAACACAGCAAAATTTGTTTTCCTGTAAAAAGAAAGAAGGAAAAATCACAAAACGCGAAATTGCTGTCTAGCTGGTGCAAATGTAGAACTCTTCGAAGTTTCTCGAGACAGAGTGAACCATAGCTAAGGGACAGACCGCACCTAGTACAAATGCATGTAGCCACTGATATATAATTTCACCATTGGTCACAAGCCTCCCCGAAGCATAACGTTGTTCGGTTCGCTTCTTGTCAAAGGAAGTTGTAAAATCCGTTTAGAGGGTCAAGCGCAAAAAGAGGCTAAGATTGTAAAGAAAGCAGAATGCCAAGACACCCGTAAACTTTGCGTATCTCATTCAGCTGCCAAAGGTCCCCGCCTATTTATGTAACGGTCGGTGCGCGATGTAAAAACAGCATGGAACAGTCTGACGTGACACCAGATAAAAAGCGTGGAATATGTGCGGGCGGGCGGGTTTTGTGGGAGACAGAAAGCATGGAAAGGGTTAATCAGCATGATTTCGCGACCAGGAGACAGTATGCAACCCCGACTGCCTCCGCCGTATTGCCACTGAGGAGCCCGAGTGATGGATCGTCCATTAGAAGAAGAT